TATTTCAAGAATGTGTGTGTATTATTGATGCTAATAATTTTTTCAAGAATGTGTATTATTGATGCTAATAATTTTTTCAAGAATGTGTATTATTGATGCTAATAATTTATTTCAAGAATTATTCAGTCAACAAGCTGTTTAAAATGCTAAAAAAGTAATGTGAAGCCTAATCTATCACCTTACTTACTTATCATAGTTTTCTCCTACTTATCCACCTTCTATTAATTTGTACTTGTTCTAGTCACACCTCGTGGCTGAAGAGAGGGCGTTGCCCTCTAGTGGCTCACCAGCCAGTAATAAAATAACAGACTTTTACTATATATATATACTCTTTCGAGTTTTCCTCGTGCAGAATTACTGACGATGGGTGGAATTCTCCGAAACTCATTTAACACAATGACATGTAGTAAATCTGTTGATAGATTGATGTTCTCTTTTACCTTTATAGAAGTTGTGTTAGTTTGCAAAGATATGAAATGTATGTTTTCAAACAAAATGAAGCACTTGGAAATATTTGAAGGGGACACTTTAGAATAAAAATGTTTTCAGACGTACTAAAACTTACTCATATTTTTATTTGAGTAAACTGCACGTGACGTTACATTACAATAAACTTTGATTGGTACACGATATACAAACTGCGCATGCTCTAAAACTAATCAACCAAAATCAGAAAAACGTCTTATAATCGATCTGTTCTTCTAAGGATCTTTAAAGGGTTTCATATTCGGTTGACTTGAGAACCTTAATGTATCTGTAGGTGTTTCATATTCGGTTGACTTGAGAACTTTAATGTATCTGTAGGTGTTTCTTATTCGGTTGACTTGAGAACCTTAATGTATCTGTAGGTGTTTCTTCTTCGGTTGACTTCAGAACCTTAATGTATCTGTAGGTGTTTCTTATTCGGTTGACTTGAGAACCTTAATGTATCTGTAGGTGTTTCTTATTCGGTTGACTTGAGAACCTTAATGTATCTGTAAGTGTTTCTTATTCGGTTGACTTCAGAACCTTATTGTATCTGTAGGTGTTTCATATTCGGTTG